GGCCAAACGGCATACGCAAAAATGCATAAGTGCCAGACTTGGTTATAAAAGCAGTCTTAGGCACGTCCTCAGGCCTGACCCCTATTTGAAAATAACCATTCGTTAAGTCTAAAGTCGTCATAAATTTGGTTGATTTTATGTTCCTTAAAATTTCTTCTATGAATCGGTAACGGATATACCGGATATTTCGTTATGGAATTTAATTTACAGTAATCAATAGCGAATCTCCACCTTTTTGGATGCTCCAAAGGATAGTCATTATTTTTCTTACATAAAACCACCGGGCTAGCATAACTACTTGAGATGGGCGTTATGATCTTTTTACGTAGCATATCGGTAATATGCCATTCTATAATTTTTTCCTTATTCTTATCATACCGGTATGGCAACTGGCATTGCATCTCCGGTGTAATACTATGGTTAGTAACCTGAGTAAATCCTGGAATATCACTAAATAACGAAGCAAATTCACTTACCTACCACTTGTCGGATTCTATCTTGCTCGTCATTAGGCAGGTGGTCAAGATTTAAACCTCGGCGGTTCAACCTTTTCTACACGTACGAACTGGTTTCATTGTCAGCTTAAGGGACGCTTCATTAAAATCCAGCGTAGCTTGTGGCGTCTGAAAGAAAATCTATTCCTAAATTAAATGTGCTTGCAGATTCTTTACTATAAAAAACATCACCTTTACTTGTTCGTCCTTGATACGGATGTACAAAGGTACTTTACCTATGCACTTACATTGTTTCTCCTTGCGCCGCTAACAACTGTTGTATTATCCGCATTATATATGCGGTATTTGCGAAAATACTTTCTAAAAAACTTCTGCCACACAGGAACACTGCGCGCCGGTATCCAGGAGTGCGGTGGCTGGGATATTATTCACCAAGACTTCAATCTTCGGAAGAGTCAAATTTTTCACCATTACTGTATTTAACTTGTAGGAAGAGGGGTTTTCGTGGCCTTCGGATTTCCGCACCCTCTCGTCAGCAGAAATCCGTTTTAGTTTAAATTATTTTTCCTTTCCGTGCTTTCCTTCTTTTTCCACTGGCCTTGAGACTTTTTTCCTGGGTTGCTATTGAACTGTCGACGTTCGCCGGCTGTTTTTGAATGCTCGGGTTTCCTTGCCCACTGATTCGCTTTTTCTCTCCGTAGCCGTGTGCTTGAGTTTGCTGTAGTCTTGGCGTACCAAATTGGTTTCGCTGTTGATATTGGCGTCTTCTTTCGACGTCCGCCGTTCTTCTACTTTCAAACTGGATTGCTAGCTCAAATAACTTTTCCAGTATAGTCGGATTTCTTAATTCAATAAAGTCTTGCACTTGGGGTAGTAACCTCGGCAAAATCACTTGAATTATTTCAGGATCCGGACGGTTTCCATACAAGAGTTGAAAACGTGAATTTTTCTTAAAATAAAGCTCGAGAGGTTTTCGATTCTTTGTTGATATATACTGAAAAGTTCCGTTTCTAATTTCGCACGATCCCTTACAACAGGGAAGGCTTTTAGTAGGGCAGTCTTGAAATTTTCGTAAGTATAGGTGGGACTTCCTGCTTGACCCAAGAGACTTCTGCCTATACATTTGAACCAGTTAAGCGCTTGGCCCCTCAAAGCGCTGGTAGCTAAGGTAACTTTTTGAAACTCGTGCACGGGGTAGAGCATGAAGTGGTCATCCAATTTTTCCAAAAAAACTGGTTACCGGTGAGTTTCCGTTAAATGTTGCTTCTGGTTTCATCGAAGCGCGCATGGTCTGGACGATGTACCCAAATCCTTCCAGGGCGGCAGCTGGCATTTCTGGATTCTGAGCCGTTTCTGCAGGCAGCACAGGTTCTTCTTGAAACTCGGCCATGGTTATTCTTCTTCGTTGGGCGCCACTATCAGGTTCAATGTTTTCTTCTAACCTTCTTCGGAAACATACAATGGACCTGACTCGGAACAGAGAGCTTACTAAAGCTATGTTCACTAATTGTGGTAAGTAGACAGGATACAGACGAAGGGTATACAAAACCCTTTATTTTTCTCTATATACAATAACTTCCGTACTTCGGAATACAATGACCCGCCACTTGGGGTCTAACGTAAAAGATATAAAAATAAAACTAAACTCTAAATTTAACTTTAGAATAATACATGTGGAAGATTGGCCTTATATTAACAGGAAGCGTATGTAGTACAGAGAACTGTGAACACTACAATACGTTTAAAATTATCAAGAGGATTAAAACCTCTGGCCTGGAAGGCAAATAGCAACTGCGTAACTTCTAAGGTAAGCGGCCTGCTTCAACTCACTGCTTCCTCTCTCTCTTGCTTGGCAAAAAGGCCACACTTAAATACTTGGCGTTCGCCAGACAAACTTTGCATAAAAACCTTCACGCTTATAATTCTGGCCGGAAGTAGAAAATAAGAAGTGATAGTAAAGATTTAAAATAAAATAAACGTTAGTAAAACTTAAGATCCTTACAGGAAGGGTGTGTTACGAGGTCTTGGTATGTTGAATTTTAACACGTTAGTGCTTTGATAGGAGATGTTGAACACATAGACATAACACATTCGTGTTTGGTGTTCTTTTACAACACATGTCAGAGAGCACGGGGAGCGATAATAAAATAGTCATGAATGAAATAAGAATGTTAAGAGAATATAATTATACATGTTACTTGCCATTTCATTGTGTAACATTTCATTAAACTAGTTTTCCTTCCAGATCTCTGGAAGGAACCATATTTGAATAAAAGCTCCTGTTTAGATGCAGTACAGATGAAAAAATTGCGTGTCCTGGGAGCTGCTGTTGTAAAAACAAATTTCTTTCTTTTAAATTTCTAGTTTCTAGCGAAAAATGTTTGTAAAAGATTGGCCTCGCGTTAGATTCTAGAACTAAAAGTTTTCAACAATGTCGTTTTAGACCTCAGTTTCAAACTAATTAACTCTGGCGGGAAATATGTAAGGATCTTAAGTTTTACTAACGTTTATTTTATTTTAAATCTTTACTATCACTTCTTATTTTCTACTTCCGGCCAGAATTATAAGCATTAACGTATTTATGCAAGGTTTGTCTGGCGAACGCCAAGTACTTAAGTTGTGGCTTTTTGCCAAGCGAAAGAGAGAGGAAGCAGTTAGTCGAAGCAGGCCGCTTACCTCAGGAGTTTTACTCAGTTGCTGGTTGCCTTCCAGGCCAGAGGTTTAATCCTCTTGATAACTTTAAACGTATTGTAGTGTCACAGTTCTCTGTACTACATACGGCTTCCTGTTAATATAAGGCCAATCTTCCACGTTTATTATTTTAAAGTTAAATTAGAGTTTAGTTTTTTTTTTTTTTTTTATATTTTTACGTTTAGACCACAAGTAGTGGGTCTTTGTATTCCGAAGTACGGAAGTTATTGTAAATAGAGAAAAATAATGGGTTTTCTATACCCTTCTTGTGTATCCTGTCTACTTCCCAAAGTTATTGAACATAGCTTTAGTAAGCTCTCTGTTCCGAGTCAGGTCCTTGCATGTTCCCGAAGAAAGTAAGACGGAACATAGAACCTGATAACACCACCATCAAATTGTGGAATGCAGCCAAACCCATTCATAAAAGTCTTCTCAATAGTGAAGCTCATGAAATTAATTACCTCATAAATGACGTTTCACATCATTTAATTTGGCAGGTCTTCAATGTTATCTTTTTCTTTTATTTTATTATCTCATGCAAGTGCAAATTATGGAAATCCCTTTATAATTACATTACTGTTTTTTTTTTTTCCTTCTTGTTTTCCATCAAGGCTGTTAAATTCATTTGCTCATTCTTGCATCCTTATTATATACAAATATAAGTTATCCTAAGGCATCCTAACAAATTCTGTCTCCAGTTTCCCTTTTTTGTCTTATTATTTTTCCCTAATTTTTAAGAAATCGGAAAATTCTTAAAGATCTGTTTCTAAAATGCTTTTTCTTCTTTCATGCATCTTATTTTGATTATGTTAATGCTTGTATTATTTTTTTTTTTGTGTGTGTACACTGTTACCAATTGGTCGCGGACACTTAACCGACACGAGTTAGCCGACAGGACATTTAACTGACAATGAGTCTCACTGTTCCCAACGCCTTCAGATTTCTGATACTTTCATATTTTATTACTACTTTGCTCAACACATCATGCTATAATCATTCCTGTACAAAGTCGTTTGGCTCCTCCCACTAATGTAATTTCCTTTCCCTGTCAAAAGCAGAGCGATTCGCCCTAATCCTCGCCACACGAGAACTACCTTTTTTTCTGAAATGCTATTTATATGTTGGGCATCGTCAGGCTTCCTTTATACATTGGGCATCGTCAGGTTATTTATACATTGGGCATCGTCAGGTCCATCCAGGCTTCCTCAAGAGCCTGGATTTCCCAACCATTCCAGAGTTCTAAAACTGTTTTCATATTGCAGAAACTGTATCTTGAAATATTCACACATCCCACTGTTTCCATTATTGTCTGCCCTGCTTCTAAATGGTTAATGATTTGTCACATCACATGTTCTGATTCACATCATATTCACGTCACGCATTCACACTCTGAAATATCATTTCAAATGATACTTCAGAGACTTAACAAACCCTTTTGAGCCCTTACATACTGAAATCAAATGTTGTATAGCAAAAATTAATTCAGATATTACTTTTGCACAAAACACTTAATTCACTATCAGTTGATGTAAAATCTTAATTTGTGTATCAAAAAACAAGTTAATCATTTATGATTGGATAATGCTCAACTTTCATGCATTCTCTTCAAAAATTTATTACATCAGTGCATATTTCATAAAATATAATTATTTCTGGATATGATTTTATTCATTATTTTTGGAAGATCAATGATGAGTGTATTTTCCATGTGGTAAAAAATTATTTTCCCTTTTTTAGCCTACTTTAAAAAATTTACTGCTTGTATTAATAATTAAAAATAAGCTTAATTGCTTAATTTAACCAAGTAAAATTACTAAATAAGGTTTTATAAAAACATTTTCTTTTTAATTACAGAATCAAAATAGAATTACAGTTTCTGATATACAGAAAATATGCAGTAAATTTGGCATTTCAGTTCCATTGCATGTGCTTGAAAAACTAATAGAGAAGAGTGGCATTACATTTAAAGATGGAATTAGAAGCTGTGATGCATCTGCATTTGTTGCTAACTGGAAGGACATAATAAATGAAAAACATAACTTTAAAAGTACTTTTTTTATTAAATAGTTTTTACATTTTTCATATTCTCAACATTTAGAACATATCACATTTCTTTTAATTAATATTCTGACAGAAAATGAAAAGAACAGCTATAAAAACTCATGTAACTTGAGTGATTGTGCAAACAAAGAACTTTATACAAGATTTTTATTTTGTCATGCTTGGCATATTTTTAAAAATGCAGAACTGCCCATTTCTTCAAAATAAATTTCATTAAGAACATAGCAAATGTGATATAAAGTGGGGTAAGGAAAATTTGGTGTTACAGCTTTTTAGAGATCCATAGAAAAATTTAATAAGATGTGCCATCGTCCTTGACTGAAATGCAAGTTTGCGGAGATTTTCCATGTTATGTATTAGATTGTCCAGATGTTCCTGCAGTAACATGTGTATTCATGGTGAGTAGCAACTTGAAGCTTCTAGTAAGTGTTACGTGGCAAAAAGTTGCCATCTTAGTATGTTCCCTGCATGTTTGTTCTATTGGATATACTTCTGGAGAATATATAAAGTTGCCATCTTAGTATGTCTCCTGCATGTTGGATGTACTTCTGGAGAATATATGGATTCCTTCATCCTCAAGATAATTGATCACTAGTGCAGCATAATGGAAACAATGAGCGTTATCCTTCATGAGGAGGAAATTATTACCAATTCCACTCCTGAACAACTTGTCATTAGGCTCAAAAACCTCATCTCTGTATATTTAAGCATTGTTGTGATTGCTGCTGTTGTGACTTATCTGAGAGTAACATCAGAACAAACCCACGGATCATGGCAAGGAGTGCCTGTTGTTGGTAAGAAAGAGCCTTGAGCACTATACATGTGACGCTAGGCCTATTCTTAGTTCACCCCTAATTTTGATGGTGAGCACTTTAGGGAGAAGGTCCAAGGGTCTACCACCAACCTCTCGAGAGGACTTTTGGCTCGCCACATATTTAGAGGGCCCCCATCCCACACGGACACTATACATTTACAGACATCTGTGCCTTCTCTGGGATTCCAATTGAAGCCCTTTGGTATGGCAGTGAGTGTTGCTGGATCAATAGCCTGCTTGGGTGACCATATTTAAGCATTCATAGCTGTATTGGTAAAAATATGTATGTGACCATTCAAAATGCTGGTCACTCATACTATGATTCCACTGCCTTCATACCAATGCTTTAATATGAATATTTTCAGCCTTATTGCATATGTTTTGTTGCTGGAGATCGTAACATGTTTGGAATCCCTCTCCAAATTAAAACGAGAATCATCAGTAAGTAAATTCATGTTTCCAGTTCATGGTGCTGCAATCATGATCTCTGCAGCATTGCAACCGAGTGCATTTCACAGCCTGGGGTTAGTGGAGTACAAGTCACATGTTTCCATGTATACAGCCCTCTTTTGCATAGCCTGTCACTCATGTTATATGTGGGTAGTCAATTTCCTGTAGCTGTAGTGAATTAGCTTGACATCTGAGCTGACCTTAGTTGTCTGTTTCTTTTCACAGTTGTTGCAAATAACGGTTCCAAGAGTTCGCTGTGGCTTGTTTTTGAACTTTACCTGGTTGTCTGCATGCATCACTAATATCTTTAATTAATTTCCAGATTCTTGACAGAACACTTTCGAGTTCCTTTAGGTTTTTAAAGGACTTGTGTCAGAGGCTGTCCTGCTTCCATTCTCCCAGTTGCATGCTGTTTCTCTCAATCTGTCTTCTCAATGGCATGTTCCAGCTTCCACATGCAAAAGTGTTATCCAACTACTCATGTGATCCTGAAATTGGAGTCTGAATAGTTCATTTGCAATCTTTTCTACATGTATCGAAAGGAGAAAACTTGCATATTTTTATGCAGCAAATGGGAATGCCATTGGACTACATTATGTTGAACTACCAACCAAATACCTTTCGTTGGACTTAATAAAATTAACACATTTTTTTTTTTTTTTTTTATATATAATTGTTCCTTTAATTTTTCTAGCCAGTGTATTTGCTATATTTTCTTAATTTACTAACTCATAGTATATAGCAAAAGTAGAATATTTCAGTCATCAGGTTTAAGAATAAAGAAATTTGAATTTAATTCTTTATTTATACAACCTTTTAAAAAAAAAAAACTGTAATTTTAAATAAGAGGCTTTTAAAAATTTCTAATTACTTTTTCACTTAATTTCATTTGCTAGCTCAATTTGATCATCAGCTAGAGAAATCAAAATTATATCTGTGTCTTTTATAAAAAGTTACCATCATGTATATCTTTATTGCTTTACTGTGGATTAAGAACTTGCATTTGAAAATTGGTATCTTCAGCAGAATATTCTGTAGATGGTCAGAAGGTAATATGAAAATATACGAAAAAGTGATTTAACAAAATGAATTTTATCATATTAAATTTTTTCTATTCCTGGGTACCAATTTCCCTTAGAAAGTCCTCCAGGAAGGCATCCCTCCCTTTAGGCAGATAACCCTCGTGTGCTTTGCCATAATTGAATAATCCTAATCCTATTCCTGGGTAATAAATATATTTTCTGCTCTAGTTTATCTAAATTTTATCAGCAGAATTTCTTCATGAATTTTCAGCTGTAAGAGTTTTTTTTTTTTTTTTTAATTTATTTTTAATCTTTATTTTTTAAATCTTAATTTCCAAACTTGAGAAAATCAAGCAAATTAGCAGCTTTCTATATTGCTAAAAAATTTTCCTTTTTTAACTTTTTTGAAATGAGTTAATTTAAAAACAAATCTTTTATGTAATTATTCTGATTGGATCAGTTAATTATAAATGTTACTTGCTATTTTCATGAGTATTATTATTCTAGTTTGTAAATTGTTGATCTCCACTTTCCTCTTAAAACCATGTAGAAAAAAGAAAAGTGTTTTTGCCTGCTTTTACTACTTGTTTTTTAATGAAATGTCTAAAATTTCAGTTCATTTTCATCTGCAGAATGCTTGTTTTCTGCTGCTAATTTTAATATGCAAATAAGGCTCCCTTTGAAACAAGTTATTAGCACTTGAATTTCTTTTATATGTAATTTTCAGTTGTGCATGTTTCATCTTTTGGTACGCAGTTGGAGCTAAATATTTTCCCATCAAATTCCATTGTTTTGCCTGCCAAATGCCATTAATTTTTTTAGTCCAAAGGGGCTTTGTTCCTGAAGGACTATTGTTTTCGTTTTGCATCGAATCACTATAAACGGCGTATCACTTTTCAAATTGTTGCCACCAAATGTTAGAGTCCTGCATTATATTTGAAGAAATTACATAGTTTATAATTAGGTTGTTTAAATTTGAATGATTAGTAAAACAGAAATTTTTCTTGCACTCCTTTATTTAGTTTTTAGTTTGCTTCTGTAACTTGAATCTTTAGTATCACTCTGTTTTATTCCTTCTTGTTGAAATTTAATTTGGTGAGAACAAGATTTTTGGCATAATATGAAACTTGATTCCTTACCAAAAGCTGCAATTACATGCTGCAAGTTAAACATAAACTTTAAAAGTGTTTTCATTGAGCTTAACAAAACCGATGAACAGGGTATGTCAATCTATGACATGTGAGGAATAAACGTAACAACTTGATGAAAGTGGGAGTTGGATAGCAGATGATTAACTTGACTGGTATGTTGACAGACACTTGGCTGCTATAATTTCAAGTTATACTTCATGGAATATTTGGCTACATTCCTATTTCCACTGTAATTTTTAATAGCTCCTTTCCATGTTAGGATTCTGTACATCATATCGCTTCACCACACTCAAGAGAATCACAGCTGTTGACCAGGTTAATTATAGGACGTCGGGTGGGTACAGTGTTTTCACAGGCATGCACACACCTTCTTGGCTTGTATCGTGGGACTATATAAAGCGTCGAACTTCGCAAATCTTCAGCAATGCACAGCCATGGAAGAAATGCAAATTTCCAAACACTGAATTTAGCAGTGGTGATTTTGTTCATTTTTTTAAGTGTTTATTGAATGTCAGTGATACATTTAATTCTTAATTCTATTCTTTAACATTTCATTTCAAAAACCTTCTCTTATTTTTTAATTGCTCTTTTGTGGATAACTGATGCATACTGCATCTTATATGAATGTATGTTCATGTTGAATATCAGTCAGTCATCTGCATGAGTTAATGACATTTATTTCTGTGTTCTTCTTAACAATTACTTTCATTGCTTTATATCTCATTTTGTAAAGGAAGAATTACTAATGTTTTTTTTAACTTCTAGCATCTATTTTTTTATTCATACAAATTTTTTGTAATTTTATCTCAGTATAATTTTGCTGAGTATAATTGAGAATTCATAATTAATTTAGAAATACAGTATGTTAATTCCTATACTTGTGATTTGTGCCATTTATGCTACATTAGCATCATTACTAGAGGTGGTTTTCTTTCTACCATGTAAGAACGGTGGGAAAATGACTGAGATCTATTTTTGAATAGTTATATTCAGTGCTTTATTTGTAATTTTTTTCTTTCTAGTAGCCACAGATTTTTTTATTTCTAGCATTTAGTAGTTGATCTTATGGTTTTCCCTCCCTTGTTATTAAAAATTGCCAAAACTTGTTTTATTTTCATTGTCAAAGTCAAATGCATAAAAACTTCAGTCTTGCATGTTAAACTGCTGTGTGATTAGGCTAATGCCATTAATTTTTTATGCGTGCACACATTTGCTTTTTTATTGATAATGAAATAAAAACCTTTTCATAGTCCTTAAGAGTGTTCAGAAAATGAGAAAGGGTAAATTGTTTTATTTAAAGTAAATCTTTCTTGTAGAATCCAAAAGCATTATTTTTTTAATATTATTTTTATTTCTTTCCTAGCTATACACAGTAGGACCATGCCAAATTAGACAAGTAATTATTTAAGTTTAAGAATGTAAAGTAATTTTAAATGTAGATGTAGACATTCTTAAATTTTAAGTGTTGTTGTAATTATTTCTTCAAATAAACTTAAATACTTAATGCTGAAATATATATAACAAGTCTTTTTATATCTTAAAGTAGTAGAGCATAATATTCGGTTTATTTTCAAAAATACATGTATATAACACATTTTAACTTCAGCACCTGCCTTAAATTTTCTATTATATATATTATTGAAAAATTCTGTTCCTTTACATGCTTCCTTATAATAACATTCATAATTAAAGACATCATATTTGTTTTCACAAACATATTCTATCATACTAGATACTGTGATAACTGCTAGTTGCATATATGGAAATAAAATGTTGTTATATAGTGTTAATAATTAATAACTCTTTTAATTTTAGATCTCAAGAATATGTGTAATAGCTGTCAGATAATGAATTCTAATCAAGATATGATAGACCATTTTAAAACTTCTGCATCTGCTATTGGTGATCACATAGCATCAGGTCTATTTTATTTATTTAAATTAAAATTTGCTCAGTTAAAACTTAAATACAGTTTTAAAACTTTTGTAATATTTGTAGTTAAGTTGATTATCATATGTCTGGTGAGTGAGTGCACCGCTATGATGGCTTCCGACCACGGACATGAACCAAACGGAATTATATACCATCACGGCGGGGAAGACTCCAGAGTAACAAGGTTGAATATTATATACGAATGACAGTTTTTACATATTTTTAACTGCAAGGCACTAAGCATTATTCTGGTTATCTGCTTTAAGTTCTGAACATTTGAAACATTATAATATTATCCACGGTTGTTTCTGCTTAGGCAGTGTCCTGAGATTTTCTCTATTTTATCAGAGCTATTCTGTTTTAAAGTGTGTTAATCGTCCACATGCCCAGCACAGTCCGCTGGTTCTTCAAGTGCCAGGTTTTGTTATGTACACAATGGAAGTAATAATGGTCCGTGTCACCTTCCTCTCCGCATTCGCAGAAAGGAGTATCCCTAAGTCTGAATCTGTTCAAGTATACTGGGAATGGTCCATGACCTGTCAAGAACTGTGTTAGGCTAGCACAGGGGGTCTTTATTTCCATGTTAACTTTTGGCAGTAAGCGAAATGTCCTTCGTCCTACCTCTGCCTCTGTCCATCTACTTTGCCAATTTTGTAGCAGACTTGTCAAAGTTGTTCGCTTAATATGAGACCAAGGAAGTTTAGTTGGTCTTTCTCATACAGTGTGCACAAGCATTCCTCATTGAACATGGAAATGTGTAGTAGAATTTTATGGTAATTAATGAGTTATTATAATCTGAAACTTAACTTCCTCTTTCTGTAGTTCTCACCAGAATGCAAATTATTTGTCAAGTAAACTGCTCAAAACAATTAAAGGATATTGTAAGTTTTATATAAAATAAAGATATAAGCGAAATTTTTTTTACCGAAAATGGAAGAAGAGAATCACAAATGCAAACTTTTCTGATTTTCAAACTGTGGAGTATGCTAATTTTGAGTTCGACGTCAGAAACGTCGCTTCAGCGACAGCGAATGAAATTTGACTTTCAACTGAATAAAAGACAATGAAGACAAGGATGATCGGCATTCAGTGACTGCTTTGTTTCGATGAGTACGATGTCTCAGCGAAGTCATTTAACCGATTCAGAAGCTTGGAGAGTTTTTGGTAGGTTAGAAGGGGGCCAAACTCAAGCGCAGTCCATTGGAGTGTCACAAAGTGCGATTTCCAGGATCTGGAACCGTTTTTTGGAAACTGGAAGTGCAGGCCGAAGACCAGGGCAAGGTCGTAGATGGGCAGCAACGCCCAATGAAGATCGTTATTTAGTGTTAACAGCTCAGAGACATCGAAATATGAATGCTACTCTTCTCCAACTACACCTTCGCTCGGCTACTGGCACCACGGTTTCAACTCAGACTGTCCGAAATCGACTCTATGGTGTAGGTCTGTATGCTCGCCGACCGATGTTATGTGTTAGACTAACATCATGGCATCGTTGCGACAGCAGGGAGTGGGCAACAGAGCATGTGAACTGGAGGAGAAATGAATGAAGCAATGTTCTTTTTTCTGACGAGTCCCGTTTTTCTGTTCATTCTGTTAATAGGTGTATTTTCATCTGGAGGGACCGTGGCAGTAGGAATAATCCTGTGTTCGTACACGAAAGTGTCAGATTTGGCGGTGGGGGAATGTTGGTGTATGGTGGCATCTCCATTGACGGGCGCACAGACCTCTACTTATTCAAGATGGAAGATGGACCTCTGACTAGTCGCTGATATAGGGATGAGATCCTCAGACCTATTGTAGACCCTTACGCTGCAGCAATCAGAGATGACTTTATTTTAATGGACGAAAACTGCAGGCCACATCGTGCTAACCTGGTGGAGGATTTCCTTTTCGAGGAAGGAATCGTACGAATGGAATAGCCAGCGTGTTCTCCAGACATGAATCCAATAGAGCACGTTTGGGATGCTCTAGGAATCCGAGTTGCTGGCTGCCAACCACCTCCCATAAACTCTCCAAGAACTGGAAAGAGCTCTTCTGGAAGAGTGGGACAGAATACCCCAACTCATGATTAATAGCCTCATTGACTGCATTCCTCAAAGGTGTTTAACGTTGCTGGCTGGCTGTCAGTGGAAACCATACCCCCTACTGAAAATTATTTCCTTTGAAGAAAACACCTTTTCTTATTCTTTTTTTCTCATATGAACAAATTGTGTTTTTTTCTTTTGTACACAAACGTGCAATAAAATGCATTTTTTTCTGCCAAACTGTGTAATTTATTCTCATATAACCTACTACGTCTGTCGACCATGTATCAATCAGCTAAAACGTTTTCCAGCCACAAGATCCACCTAAAACCGCAATATCCTTTAATTGTTTTGAGCAGTGTATTTAAGTCAAAGGTTTCAATGTTTTGGAGTTGGAGTTTCTGTCAGCCTTGCTTGCAGTTATATGCTGTTGCCACTCTGCTAAATTTATTCAGGCTTCATCCATTTTGCTAGCTAATATGTGCCATTAATTACTTGAGCTAGCTTAAGTGGATTATTTTGCATGTATCCTCAGATTACATTACTTGAATTAAACTTTATCTTATTTTAAATGCCTGCAAGCAGTGAAGTTTTATGTGTAACTGAAATGGTGTCTTCTGTTCATTTAAAGAGCTCAATAAAAAGCTTGTTTTAATTTTTATAGTACTTTATTTAGATTAGAGTGGCAACTCAGTTGTTAGTCTAGTAGAACATTAAGTTAAATTTCTAGACATAGCAGAACTGCACATCTAGCACCCAACTGTTTCTCACAAACTGTCTGGTGACAATGCAGCTGCTAGCCTGCCCATCCCAATTCCTACATTAGGATTAGTCTTTGTTGCATACATCAATGAAACTATCCACTTGTTTTTACAGCAAAAGTTTGTTTTTCATATTTATAGCTTGTAGAGACATTATGATGAAAAATAGCTGGAGAGATGAAAAATAGCAAACACCTTTGCAGGGAATCGAACCACGGACCTCTGAAGTACCGGCTCACTGTGCTGACCACTACACCACGAAGGCACGTTAATAAGGCGGAAGAACTACCTTATATACTCCCCCTTTTAAAGGGTGACTAGGGTTTTAGAGAATCCTGGGTGAGGGGAATCATCCTCCAACACCCTTTTAGTTTGGGCGCCACTGTAGAGACATTAGGTATTTTTGGAACCAAGCAAGATAAAAAATATGCAACGCCTTCGCTGGGAATCGAACTATGGGCCTCTGGAATACGCGCCCAGCGTGGCGCATAATGAATTGGAAGTTGATCTGTCAGCACTATCCTTATCCTCAGGGCAGATGTTTTTATTTTATTTGGCCTATAATTCCTTACTAAATGTAGTATTTCATCTCGATGTACTCCGCCTTTGATATGATTTAAATCAAATTCCTCGTCATTATAATTCGTTTCCGATTGTGGAGAAAGTGACACAGAGGTTATTAAAAACGAAAAATTTCGATTGCAAATTAGTCGGTATTCTCGGTCAGCAATTATAGGACTTGAACAGCGGACTTTGGTAACGAACAGAAATTAGTCTGTTTATAGAATTAAGAGAAAGTATTATCACATAAAACGAAGCAACGTAACAACGTACATTGAAAGAAACGTTTAATGAAGTAAACAAATAAATATTAACTTTTTTTTTTTTGTAAATTTTGATACCCTTTAGATCATAATTGTTCTTTATTTCATAAATTACGGTTTCATATTTTAATTGTATAATTTCTGCATGCCATCTTACCAGATTTAAACTGATGATCTATAATCCAGAAAAATCGATAATCCGGAATCGCTGAAGTCCCGACTAGTCCGGATTAACGACTTTTGACTGTATTAGTTAAAAATATTTCACTTTGAACATTCAAATGATCCTGAATAGAATCTCATCAGATGCTTTGTTGGACACAGGGGTGTAAAGAAGTAGCTTTTTGGTTGAAATTTTTTTTAAAAAAAATAGAAAATGTAGGTTTTTTAATGTGGCAGGAACAGAGGTGATAACAAGGAAGAGATGAATATGTAGGAAAAGCGACTTTGAATGCGCAAGTTAAAAATGAGCTGTATGAATTATTTTTAAGGGTGAACTAAAGAGTATATCAGAAAACTAAGCAGTGTAACAAAATATCTGGTTTACCACTTTCCAGTAATTGAGGATATCATAAGAAAAATCCACAGAATACATGATGACACTGGACCTCACATCTGGATATTATCAGGTATGTGTGAAATTGGGGTGCTCACCAAAAACTGCACTTTTTACGAAATCAAAAGTTCATGTGTTCTTAGAATGTTGTTTGCCCTATGCAGGGTTCCACTACATAGGGAATAGATATACCTTTGAGGTCTTACATGGTAAATTAACAATGGCATACCTAGATGACATAAGTAACACAACCGATGACCATATTAAGGATTTGTGTGAAATTTTTATTTGCTTCTATGGGAAGCAGGTTTAAAAGTGAATGATGCAAAATGTAAATTTGCAGCCCCCCAAAATAATTCAATACTTGGGCAGATATATCTGATATCTGAATGGGAACTAGAAACATAAGATTCAAAAACTGCAACAATAAAAAATTATCTAGCACCTAACACGGCGAAGAAACTCGCATCATTTTTTGGGCTTATGCACCTATCAGAACATTCATTAAAGAATTTGTTGATATAGCTCCTTTGGTAATTTTAAAAAAGAAAAAAGGGTAGATTCACTTGGTCAGTAGAAGCAAACATAGCTTTTGAAAAATTTAAAGTGGCGTTACTCCAAGCCCCAATCATGAAATTTTCTGAAACATATGGCAAGATACAAATCACCACCAGATACACCTGATTTTATGGTAGGAGCCATGTTTATGCAAGACAAACCAGTGCCAAGCGGGTATATGTGGGAATATAAACCATCGGGACTCAAATAAGCCTTAAGGATATGCGGGAAAAAGACTTCGCGTCCATCAGCGGCTGAGTAGTAAAGTCTTTGAGCATTGATAGTTTGGTCTGAGGTTCGAATCACAAACAGGTTGGTTGCATGTGCATTTTCATGGTTTTCCTTGTGTGTAACATGGATTCCCTTAAAAATCCCTCTATGAAGGCATCTTTCTACTTAGGCAGATAGCCCTTGAGTGATTTGCCATAATCAAATAAGCCACTCCATTGCGATGACAATGCTCCAAACACCAGTCAGCAAACGGATGGTGAAATGTGTAATTATGGCTCTAAAGTGAGAAAATATCACTACCAATTGTGAAGAAGGTGGCACAGGAGTTGCTGAGAACAAAAAAAATTTTGATCTATGATTTAGTGGGAATTCTTGGCACAGTATTTACAGGGCTTAAACTTTGTAACTGAACAAAACATTATGCTTACCTATAAAATTAAAGAGAAAGAATTAGAGGGAAAAAAAGAAATGTTTAATGAAGAAAACAAATATTGAGACATTTTGGGGGGTAAATTTTGATTTTCTTAAGGTCATAAATGCTTCATTATTTCATAAACAACTATTTCAGATTTTTAATTTTATAATTTCTATATATCATCTTACTAGATTTAAACTAATGATCTAAAATCCAGAATCGCCAAAGTCAAACGAGTCCGAATCGCGGATTTTGTATTGTACTGCTTTGTAGAATAAATGTTTAAAATGTTCTTGCTAGTTCATAAAATTTCGATTAATTTTCAAAATACATTTTAATAGGAGTATATATGCATAAAATATTGGGAAAAACTGAAAAATGGATTTATGATTAAATTCAATGTGGTAAATTTTTTTTAGTGCACAGAAAACCTGCAGGACTCCCAACTATACGAAATGACATGAAAAGACCTAAATCTAGAAATATTACTGATTTAAAGGATTATGGTGACATAAAGAGTTGTACAAGAACTATACAACCCTCTATATTTGAAAAGCATGCTGTATCTGATGAGGATCTAGGAGCATTAAAATACAAGCAAGAGGTGATTTTTTTTTTTTTTTTTTTTTTTTTTTTTTTTTTTTTTATGTTCTTATTGCCATATATGCAGAAAAAGCTTTTATAGGTAACTATTAGAAATTCAGTGATTGCTCTTTAAAAATCGTTTAGCCAGCCTCTGCAAATGTGCAATTTTAATACAAAGTAATGTTAAAAAGGTCCATATGTTCTGTAATAAAATATTACACAGTGAATGGATTAAATTTAATACCTATTAATCTCTAAACAATATTATAAATGCATCCATTTCATCTTATCTAAAGCCCAATAAATACTAGTACATTGAAGGCAGCTTGGAATTTTATATTTTATGATTCATATAAGTGGTGACAAATTTATGGCTCTCAATCCATATGGAACACAAATTGAAAACAATATTCATTGTGCTGTGTTAGTGCCACTCTTATTAATCCATATTGTAAGAAATATTTCAGCAAATTGTTTTAGCAGCATGTTCCATAACAACTGTAACATGTACTGAAGAGCCAAAATATTATGACCACCTACCGAATACTGCATTGCGCGACCTTTGGCCTACAAAATAGGTGCAACTCGCCTTGGCGTGGATGTCACAAGTTCTTGGACGAGGACTTTAGACAGGTTGTACCAAATGTCTAAGCAGTGGTCACGAAAGTCGAGATATTCTGACAGTGGTAGTGTTTGTGCTCTGAGCTGCAGCTGCATGAAATTCCAAACATGCTCTATCAGGTTAAGATCCGGTGAGTTAGGTGGCCAGGATATTAATTAAAATTCATCCTTATGCTCTTTAAGCCTTTCTAACACAGTTTGAGCCTAGTGACATGGAACATTGTCCATTTGGGAAGACAGGTGCCATGTAAGGGCGCAACTCCGCTGTTACGTTCAGTTAGTCCGCAGCTTTCATATTCTGTTCTACTACAACTAAAGGTTCCAGAGCCATGCAGAGAACATCCCCCAAAGCATAATACTGCCTCCACCAGCCCTTGTATGACCTGTGCAGGGAGAGCAACTGTTGGCCTGGAAGATGGTGCAGCCTGACACAACCATCAACGTGATGAATGAGAAATCGCAATTTACTCGACCAAGGCAACTGCCTTTCACGTGACCATGGCCCAGTCTCGATGTTCCCGGGCCCACTGCAGGCATAGTTGACTGTGACAGTAGGTCAACAGAGGCACATGAGTGGGGCGTCTGCTGCGCAGACTCATATCCAGCAGTGTCCACAGAAATGTGTGTTCTGAAGCACTTGCACTTGAGCCTGCATTATATTAGGCTGTCAGTTGAGCCTCTGTCTGGTACCGATTTTGATGTACCAAGTGGTATAGTCTCTAACATAATTTTTCTTATGACGATGCATGGACGTCCAACACCTTGGCGTCTACTGCTGCGTTCACGATCATTTACCAACTTAACATAAATATTAACAATGGCAGATTGTGAATGAACTACCAGTCATGCAGTTTTAGAGATACTTGTTCCGAGTCTTCAGGCAATTTCAGCCTGCCCTCTATCAAATTTGCTTAGATCAGCAGCTTTTCCCATCACTTGCAAAAATCAGTGCAAGAATGATTCCTTACATTCTCCAGCAGGAGTTAAATACCATTCCCACTTAATCATGTGCTCTGCACGTCAACCAGAGGAGTTCATTGAAAAATGTGGGGCTAAGTCATAATATTTTGTTTCGTCAGTGTATGTGGTATAAAATTGATTATCACCTTAATATATATCGACTTAAACAGTTACGTGTATAGAATAGCTGATAAACAGATATCCATCTTTTCCATATTTAGTGAGATGTGAGATTCCCCCCCCCAAGTAGGTTAACAGACCATCTCCTTCCTTTAGAAAATATCGTGCACTATGTGAGATTCTTGTCGGATCTTTTTAGAGTGGGTCTTCGCTTAATTATAGTAATCCACAGTATCTGTGAATAAGTAAGCCATACATGAATCTTGATTCATACACATGAGTACAGAAATTGAACTGTTCTCTGAATTGTGTAATCTTTAGTTTTAATACTATAAGTTCTTACCTGTCGTCCATCATGGCCAGAAAAGTATTTCAAGATCTTAACCCATTTTCTAGATGTTTCGTGGAAAACATTTATTGCCTATCAACATCAGATCATTAATTTTGAAATTTTGGACTTCTTTCGAGCTGTGCATTGTGTGTGCTGATCTCAGGTTCATAACATATTCACTTCTCCACATCTTCCACAATAAATTTAGTAAGTTTTCTCTATAATAAAACATTTCAATAAAATATCCTTGTTTGAAAAATCTCAATTGCTCAGTTTTACATAAGGTAAATTTGAATTTTCTGCCAAGGAAGAAATGTGCAGGTGGTAAGGGAAATTGTTCTTTTGGCTTTGTATAGGTTATACGTTAAAGGTTTCTAATTTATGACTCCCTAAGTTATGACTTTGATCAGAATTGTCTCTAATTCTTTTACGGTCAATGAAGATCTTCCAATTGCTTTCATCAAACTTTTTTATTGATGCGATCATCTTTTCATAAAAGCCACCCCACCATGCTCCTCTTTCAAGAATGTATTTTCATTTGATTTGGTGGGATGAAAATAATTGCTTTATATCAAGGTGATTAATCGGTCTCTGTATCTGGTGTAAGTCCAGCTCGTTTGAATGTTTTAGCATTATTCGTGTAGATGATGGAACCCAAACCTCTTCTTTTTCTCTCTTTTTGATATATAAAATTTGAAAGCGAGTATGTCTCGAACTAATTATAAATATATTGCTCGCGTCACAGTACAGGTAAAAAAAGTATATAAAATTTACTATCACTGTTTTTCACAAAGAGCAGACCAGCAAAGTCCATTTCCGTTATCCCAAAAGGTGGCGATTCTGCAATTATATCAGCTGGCAATGGTGCTGTAACTTGCATTCCTGGATGAGCATTATAACGTTTACACATTATGTATCCTTTTATAGCAAACTTTATGTACTGTCTTCCTCTTATAATCCAAAATCTTTCTCGAGTTAGGACTAGCGTATCGGAAATTCCTGCATGGTATGCCTTCTCATGAGCATCATTGATTATAAGTTCTGGGAATCTGTGCTTTACAGGCAGTAGCATTAGATGTTTTTTATAAAACTTCATATTTGATTCTTATAATCTCCCACCAACTACAATAATTTCTTTCTTATCTAAAGCTGGATTCAAATTTTAAACCTTTGATTCTTTAAAAATAAATTTTCCTTCTTTCAGAAAGTTTTCCTTCCGTATTTCCTTGAATCAATAGATTTCTGTGTCGGAAATTTCACTTAATTCAGCTTGATTTTTGTCTTCCTTGTTTTTGCTTCTCACTTTAAATATGAATCTCTTAATATAGGCTGTTATTCTGTACAGTTTTGTATCTGAACGAAATTTGTTCAAATCTAGGAGATAATATTTCTCTTTCTTGTTTTCGTCAAATGTGGCATTCACTGATATTGTAAACTTTGATCTTCTTTCTTCCATAGTCAAAAGAACAATTTCAGCTTTACTGTGACCATGTTCAATTTGTTTTAACTATTTGAGCCTTTTTTCATTTTTATCAAAATCTGCTGCTGTGCACCCTCATGATATTACACCTGCTGAATTATTTCGACTGCTGCAATGTCTCCAATTTGATGAATCAGATATTTCTTGAATTTCACTAACTCTGTTCACGATAGAAGACTTCCATTGTTTGGTATTTCCGCAGATCCAGCTGAGAGCTGCTGTGGAATCTGTCCAAAAGAAGTAATTATCCCTTGTTTTAAAAATGGGTTTAAGAAGTTGAATATTCTTGCATCAGTCAGTGTTGCCATCAGCTCTAGCCATGCGAAATTTAACCTCTTTACTGGTGCTACCCTTAATTTAGATGTACAAAGGTAATTTCAAAATTTTCATTTGAGGTTTTGTAGCACACATATGCGATGGCTCCGTATGTGAATTCACTAGCGTCGACAAAAATATGTCATTCGAATTCGGTGAAATCTGTTTTGAAATAGCATCTAGGTATTAATAAAGCTTCCAGTTTAGAAATGTTCCTACACCAGTTCTCCCATTTAAGTTTCAAATCCTTTATTAGATATTCATCTCATCCTACACCTCTCACCCATAATTCTTGAAATATAATTACAAATGTTATAATTAATCCCAAAGGGTCATAAATTTTAAATGCTAATTTCAAAACGCTTCTTTTTGTGTTCTGTATATCCTCTAACAATGGCAAAATAAAGTAAATTTTGAAACTAAATTATGTGTTTCAGTGTTCCGTACAATGCCCAATACTTTCAGTGGCACTGTGCAATTTTTAGAAATTGAATGATTTTTCAAATCCTGTATCATTCTAGATTTTTAGAAGCTCCTTTGAATTCATTCGCCATTTTCTCAGATTCATAGCTGCTTCTGATAAGATGAATTTTGCATCTGTAGATCACTTTCGAGCTTCATATACAGAATCTGCTCCAACCAACAAATGATCGGTATATAAAAATATTCATTTAAGATCCTATATGCTTCTTAATTTAGGTCCTTGTATTTACTTATGTGGTATTTTATTGTCGCTGCTGAGAGGAAAGGGCTAAAAATCACTTCAAATGTGACTCTCGTGATTCGGTAAATTTTCTGTTCCCCGGAAGCCAACTCATCAAACCATAAAAATCTCTGATAATCCCGATCTGCTTCTACAGAAATTTGTAAGAAAACCTTTTCAATATCAGCCTCAAATGCAATTTTATTTATTCAGAAATTTAGAAGTAGTGCCAAAATGCTAGAATACAAATTTGGTCCTTTTAATTTTAATTTCATTCTAAGACAAGCTGTTTAGCTCTTTGAACAAAGCATCATAAACTCATCTTAATTTTCTAGTTTCACTATCTTTCTTAATAAAAGGATGATAAGGCATATAATACATTTTATTTTGAAATACTTCTGTTTCAGCATTTATTTCCTTTATGATACCTTCAACTATTCATTTATGATCCTTTTATATTCTTCATAAAGAGATAAATTTCTCTTAAACATGTTCTTTAAACTGCGTTATCTTCGTTTTGTAATATTAAAATTATCGTTTAAGTTTGGCTCCTCTTTAAATAGTAATCTAACTTTGTATCTTTTATCACTAAATTTTATTTCTGTAAATATTTACAAGCTATCAATCTGCCAAAACCTCTTCAGTTCTTTGTTTATTTGACACTCATTGAATCCATCATTAATACTCTCTTGTTTATTTTCGTAGCTATGGATGAATGCTCCATTGCTGCACAAATATTACCAGCATTTTTTCATTATGGCAAACATTACATGCTTGACCTTGAACACATATTCCGAACAAAGCCTTTACAGCGACTAAATTACTGTTTATCTTTTCACATCTACCCAAATTTATTTCCCAGAAGTATGCCACCCCTGTCAAAACTTAAGAAGTTTAGTGCTGTCAGCAAAATATACTAGGTCAGATTAATCATAGCAGCAGTTTAACATTTTCTGTACCAATTTATCATGCGTACAAACATTGCATATGCATTTGTAATTTTCTCTGTGATTAACATTTCAAGTTTTATTTTTGTCTTAGGGTCATTACATTTTGTAATTGGATTCTTGTTACTCCTAATCATTTTCCCCTTCCTCCCTAATCATTTTCCAAATGTATAAACAATTAAATTATTTCCTTATAATTGGAATTATAAGGAAAATCTCATCTCGTCTTATAACTAATCGGCTAATCATTTCAGGATAAGCACATTGAAGCATTATCAAATAATAACCTGATGATTTTCTATCTATGTAAAGAGTTACAATTCTCACAGGGTATGTTAAGTAATAGAACTGAATTTGAGTCATATACTTGCTTGCAATGTGATACAGACGAAATTATCGTTCAGGGTTTATTTTCTTTTATTTTAACACTTACATTGGGTTCAGGTCCGTGCAGACAATAGGTGCAGGGTCGTGCTCTGCATGATGGCACCGAGTCAAAAAGGCGCTAGGCGATCATTAAAACAAACAGTCCATCTCGCTGCCAGTCTGAACAGAAATATTCTTGTCTTATTTGAACGTGTTTTTGTGTTGTCTTATTGATACTCAAGACATCAAAAAGGAACCTATGAACTTTCAAACCCTTTAAAATAATTCTATAAACTCCTAAGAATGTGCTAATTGAACTTATGTACTTAATATCTTTATGAACTCAAATCCTTATGAACATGTTCTTTAAACTTATGAACTGTTCATAAACACTTATGAACTCATAAAAACTTTAAATTCATCTCCGCAGCTATTACAGAACTTTCTAATTTTATGTATATATATCAGAATTTTTCTCATAACTCATAAATATCTAAATATAAATATACTCATAAATATCTCAATATATAATTTTCTCATAAATATATACCATAATTTCATTTAATGTATATATTTATGTATAATGATTTAATGTATATATTCAAATTTCATATATTGTATAGATTATAAAATTTAAATAAACATGGTCTTATTGAGTGAGCAATAAAGCTGAATGTCTTCATGAGGGCACAGCTGCCCACCCAGTGGTATCTTGCCACCTGTCTTATTTGAACGCCGTTCCAGAAATCGACTCAGTTAAAACCTGGAAAGCTGCTGATTAGGATCTATACCTAGGCAGTCTCGGCCATGGGTGTTTAAAATCAGTCTCCATAGGACTGGAGTCAAGGCTGGCGATGGCTATTTCAGGCTCGGCAGGGACCATATGGTACTGTTTGGTTCGTTCCATTCATTGTGGTGGAGCTGCGTAATCAGATATTGAAGGTTGTCCAGAGCAAAACACCACCGTCGGTGGAGTTGGAGAATTA